AAATTAGTCACTGCTCTGCATGCAAAGGCTTGGAACCTAGAGCCTGTTTGGGCAAGGCTTACAGGGGCTCCGGCTCCTCTAAATCAGGTGTTGTAGAAAGAAGCTGTTTTTCTCTCTCCTCGTGAAATGAACTAGGAGCTCAAAAAAACCATGTTTTCTAGCTCCTCTGGGAGAGAGCCCTGCCGGCCCTAGTTGTCCATCCTACAAAAGCACGGTGAATATCCCCCCTACTGCCAGTGCCAGTTGCCTCGGGTGCAAACGAGGTGCTCTCCAGTACTGGTGCTCTCTGTATGCTTTGGCATCTATGTTTTTGCGTCAACAAGATCCTATTGCAAGAGATTGAATACACGGAGATTGATGGGATCACATATTAAAATTATATATTTGCTCACAAGAAAAAAAAAAGAGCAGAGCTTTATTTTTCATGATCGTGCCTTGACACCTTTTTTCACTAAAGCCCCATTTGGATCCTTAGAATTAAATTTATTTTAATAATTATAATTTAGACACGTATTAATTAAGTTAATATAATTGTATATATATATTATATTCGTATATTATTACATTTCTACTGTAAGGCAGCGAGTTGAAGAGCGTGTTATAAGTTGCAAAGTAGAAACATAGCATGGTTATCTATAGAATCAATTTTCATTTCTCACCCTATGAATTTAAAATAGGCTTATACGTGAATTTTGAAAAGTGGTGGAATGTCAAATTTCAAACAAAATAGCCTAATTTATTAAGTAAATTTCAATTTCTCAAAATTAAAGGATCCAAACAGCCCCTAAGAAGAAATAGAGTGAATTACAAACACATCTTAGGGTGGTAATCGCAGGATTACCGAACTAAGAACACCTCGTCAGATTTGATCCTAATTACACGGAACTAAGCTGTGACTCTTCTGAAAGAAGCTCATAGCAGACACCCTCTCGTAGAGACCTAGACTACAAACTCTCTTACAGCACTACGACGCGCGCGGACATTGAGACCACGCACATTCTAGACAAACATGTTTTCTGAAGACATTAAACAACCAATCAGCTGTGAACTGATCATAGATCAGCTGGTTAGGTTCTATGTGGTGGAATCTACTCACCCGGATTTAAGTTGTTGACTTACACGGATGCTTACATTTTTCTAAATTTATTTTAGAATTTAACAGCACTATGCTTTGTAGGGCAGGCGATCATCGGCGCTAAGCGTATGGATATGGCGTCGTTGCAAAGTGGTCGATCCAAAGTTGTGGTGCCAGCAGTGGCACTATGCCTTTCCGGACGATACACGGGAAGCGGCCGCGATGCTCTCTTGCATCACCTTGAACTTTTCAGCGGGCGCAGCTGCAAGGATCGCATCGGCACACTTGTTGTAGGTAGCTAGAACCGCCGCGATCTCCTTCTCATCTCCATCCGCGTACGCCTTGTTGATAGCCCTGATAGTGGGGGCGAATTCTTGATTGATGAGGAACACATCGTCGATAGTTTCCTCCTTCTTGCCTTGCGCGACGGCAGCGCGGACCTCCTTGAAGGCCTTCTGCAGCTTGGAGACGGTCTCGCAGAAGGGCTTGTCGTCGACGTTGGTGGCGCAATCTTTGTGGTTTGGTGCAGACATGGCGTTGAACAATTCCTCCATCCTCTCTAGCTTCATAGCCGGCGGTGCCTCCATTACGATCTTGGCGCTTAACTCGTATTTCAAGGCAAGTGTTGCTACCTTCTCCTCGCCTCCTGCCTTGGCCTTCGCGAGGGCGGTCTCGGCGATGCGAAGCTGCTTAGAAGTTGCGTCTATGGCTTCCTTCTTCTTGGCCGGTGGGGCGGAGGCGATGACGTCGTCGAAAACCTTCTTCAGTGTCAGATTCACCTCGTTGATCTTCTTGTCAACTTCGGCGGACGATTGCTCCGGCACTGGCGGAGTGGCTTCCACGGCTGTGATGGTAGCAACAAGGACGATCAGTAGGAGGATCTTGGCCATGGTAAAAATTTAGGATAAATGTATGCTAACAACTGTTGGTAGTTCAGTTGGTTCACAATGCAAGCTAGACGGTGGCTCTCGGCTTTTTATTAAACGGTGAACACCTTTTACTATAAATAGTGCATGCATCATGCATGGGTGGATGGAAGGTGATAATGTAATCAAGGTGAGCCCAAGAGAGACTTGCGGGTGAGTTTAGCTCCAGAATTGGGTACCTTCATGCAAGCCTGGTGCTTCTTCGTGGCCCCTCCTTCCTCTTCCGTCTTGACCAAGGACCAACTATGTACCAGGTTTGTTCTAACAGTAATGCTCCGTCCGGACCGACGGAGGGACGCTTCCTCCAACCGTGGACCACACAAAATATAATAGCCCGCCCACGAAACAACACGGTCGGCTGGTGGGCCTTTCCCTCCGCTCGAGAACACTCCAGACGCAATTTAGGCCCCGTTGCCCCCGTGCTCTCCCTTCCTCTCTGAATTGCTTGCCTTTCCCCTCAACCTCAATCATGATCAAGTCATACACACATGCTGGAGTAACGCTACACCAGCAAGAACTCTTCGAGCTTTGTCAACCTTATTATAACTTCTACTAATAAAAAGAGAAAGAAAACTCTTGAAAGGCAAGGCTAATTTCCTCCATCTCCTTGAGAATAAGATCAATGATGGATCACTCCTTCTTTTTGCACAACTCCTCGGTTTGCGTAAACCCATCATGCGCCAAGCTTCATGCCATCCCTGCACGCCAAGGCCACCCGACGTAAACCCATCTGCTCTCCCTTCCTCTCTGCCTTCCCGCACGCGCTTCGCAGATCTTCGTTTGTCTTCTGCTCCTTTCTCCCCATCGTTGTCCACCGTTTTTGGGAGAGATAAAGACGCCCGCCTCGACACCGCGAATCGGCCGACCCGTCATCCATCTGCTTTCGTCTGTTACCAAAGTTCTCCACTGAGGAGGTAGCGCTGCGCCCCATCCACCACGCTCGTCGACAGGAAGGAGAGGGTTGCACCTAGGTGTACGCTAGATCGTTGCTCTCGACGTCTCCTGACCTGAGCTTGTTGGTTACCAAAGTTCCCCACTAGGTAGCCCGTGATCACCGGAGACGCCGTGTTTCAAGTGTTTCAGGCGTTTTAGACTTATGTTTCACGCGTTTCATCTAGATATTGCAAAAGTAGATCTAGGATGTTGCATATATTGCAATAACAATATACGCATGTTGCAAGCATATGTTTTCCAGTGTTTCAGTTGTTTCATATGTATATTTCAAGTGTTTCATCTGGATATTGCAGAAATATATTTGGATGTCGCATAACATGCATGTTTCAAGCGCATGTTTCATATGTATGTTGCAAGTTTCATCTGGATGTTGTAAAAGTAAATCTTGATGTTGCATATGTAGTTAGTTATGGCTATAAACGCATGTTTCAAGCGTATGTTTCAAGTGTTTCATCTGTTTTCAATCGTATGTTGCAAGTGTTTCAAAAGTAGATCTAGGGGAGCATATGTTGCAATGGCCCCGGTAATGGGGGGTGCGCTGTGGGTCACCGTGTAGGCGCCTAAGGCCGGCATACGCCTCCACGGTGTGCATCTGCGGATGGGATGAGGCAAGCATGGCGGATGCGCTTCTGTTACACAAGGACGGGACGGGGGGCGGTAGATGCGTTTGAACAGGAGCGGCGTCCGGACGCCTCCTGTGGCCGGACGTCCGGACGCTAGAACAAATACACAGTGTATATTCTGAAGATAAACGAGATTTCGATCTCTTACATCTACTAATAGTAAAACTTATTTTTCTATTGCATGGATGTCGTTGACTAGTTTCGATCTAAATTAATTTTATGATTCAGAGTTCAGATTTATATTAATTCAACAGTAATTTTTTATGTCCTAAGTCAAACTATACAATGTTTGATTAAATTTATAGAAAATAATATTAATATCTATTACATCAAATATGTAAATTATGAAAATATATTTCATAACATATCCGATGATGCTAATTTGAAATTGTAACTATTCTTGTTTTCTATAATTTTGGTCAAGGTTAACATAATTTGACTTATGACAAACTTAGATCTCTTATATTTTAGGATGGAGGAAGAAAAATGTAGGTAGTATTACATACCCACTGAGGGCTCGTTCGGTTTCTAGGGAGCCATTACATTGAACAATTCCTACTAGAAATGCTTGGCTAATTTATATAAGCTTTTATCAACCTGGAACGATCGCTGGTGGATTTCGGGTTAACCGAATATCCCTCGTTGGATCCAAACCAGGTGTCTTTATCTCTTTATTACATATATACCCACTCACCTGCATGTCCAGACCATGCATTCCTCCACCTCAGAATGCACTGCTCGATTGGAGTGATTTGTTTTGTTTTCAATCGGCCCGGTGTCTCGTGCATGTAATCGTGTGTTTTGGTACTGATAGTAGCATAGGAGTACGTGCTCCTTCAATCCTTTTTGGACAAATGGTGTTCTCCACCCAGTAAACGGAACCGATGAACTGTCACAGGAGAAATCCAATCTATCTGGATCACTGGATGTAAAGCGTAGTAAAGAAACTAAATAGTAATAACAAAACTAAATAAGTTCACAAGACAAATTGAAAAAACGGGTCCATAGCTCAGTGGTAGAGCAATCGACTGCAGATCGATAGGTCTCCGGTTCGAACCCGGATGGGCCCTTTGCTCTTCTGCCATTTTTTTTTACTTTTTTTTGCGTTTTTAACTTTTACCGGATGCTCGAGTTTTGAACGTTTAGCGGATGGTTTTCCACTCTCCACCCTAATGCACGTACTAAAAATAGATAGATAATTTGAGTTCATGTGACAACTCACTTTTGTAGTTTTGCATCCCAACAGCGAATAAATGCCAACACTGATTTGCTGAAATATATAATAACTGATCGCAAACATGAATGCAATTTCTTAGCTCAAATCATGACGAAACCATTACAATCTTCATGCCGATTTACACTATTATTTGGTAGTCGGAGTTTGCAACAAACTAGCACATGAACAGATCGAACTGAAGTGGGCTACACCATCTTTCGGATTTTCAGTGACTTGTCATAGAGCTGAACCGTGCGACCATTCAATTGCTGTAGTGGTCTGGAGTTGTGCCTGTAACTCCCCTCCAAAGGGGCCATCAGATCAGCAGCCTGTTCCTTGGTCATTTCTCTTACCTGCAAATCCATAACTTCCAGATTGTAGCAAACTTCGCTTCGCTGAAAAGGCCAGGCTAATAAGTTCAAGCGAACAGGGCACAGTGACTACCTCGCCAAGAATGTTCCAGACCACATTCTCAGTGCATGGAGGCGCAGTGAGGGATCCAACGTATCTGTAATATCTATCCGCGCCCTGCCTCAGTTCTGTCATGTCCACCACTCCAACAGGGAGAGGATCGCCTTTCTCCGCCTTGCAGCCCTCCGCATACAACTCAGCCAACTGTTCCTTTATCTGAAAGTCACGCACAAAACAAAAATAGTGAGATACATTTTGGCTACTACGAGGGTTTGATAGAAGGTAAGCTAAACATGCAACTGCACCAGCATTGCTCAAGCATCTACTAGTTCAAATGCAAATGACAAATCATTTCCACGCTCTGAACCCAAGAGAAATACAAGCCTTGAACACTTCATTCAGTTCTCGGCTTCTTGAACTGGCCAACGTCTCATCGGTATTCAGAGTAGTTCAAGCCTGATATATCTAATCATTACTGTCGAGTCATAAGTTACCTAAAAACATGTATATAGTATGTACATTCATAATAGTTTGGATCCTTTTCGTTTCTTATGACCAAAGTGCAAAAATTACATAGAACCACCTGGAAAAGGAAAGGGTCTGGTTTGCCATGTCGATAAAGGATGGCCACAACAGTAACGTTTCCATCTTCAGTTACGTGAACCATGTGAAGCTCCATCGCAAACCTATCAGGGACTCAAGATAAAGCATGGGTGCATTAAATTAGTACAGCAGATAATCCATGATGTACAATTCATCAGAGTGTACATGCAAACCTTTCGCCATTGATGGTGTGCTCCGATGGGGAATGCCAATGCAATTGCTTTAGCTTATACTTTATCCCACCCACCTTCACGGTCTCAGCGGTGTCATTATAACGCAGCTGCATCATTCAATAACACCAGACGATGATGATCCATATTGAAAAATCCACAACTCAGAATTTGGAGGTAACATGTATAAATGTGAATGAATCGAGTTACTGTTGTTAAATTTATTTCTAATGTAGCATATCAAAAAAAATATACCTTGTTAACTCGCAAAAAAAATGTGAATGAATCATTTTCTTTTACATATTTGGGTCTGAAGTTAAAGTTATTTCTAATGTATGTAAAACATCACAATCACATAGAAAATAAAGTACTTTGTAATACAATTAAAAGTAACTATTTGGTTTGGAACAAACCGCGATGTTGAAGACATTGTCAACAATGGTTGCATTTGTGGCTGTATAATCCCTTTCAAGGGGCTCCAACTGCGGAATATAGACCGCTTCATCCTTCACGATGTCGATTGGAGATTGCTGGATTCCTTTTGAGCAAAGTGTGAAATTAGGGCTTAAGCTTCCCCAATACTTTGGGCCAGTACTTCCACTGTAACCAAAGCTCACACCATCTGCATCAAGTCAAAAAGAGGTTCTCATCTGACATCAACCATAATACGGCTCTCATCACCTCATGAGGATTTTGTAATTAAAGAATTTTAGTTTTCAGATTTTCTTTTCCTTTTTCCCTCTTCTTCCTCTGAACATATCATGAAATTATTGTGTATCTTCAAAAAACAGAAAGACCAAACACCTAGCTTTCCATTCTAAATACTATAAGAACCTTTCTAATTATGTTCTTTAAACTCCATGTTCCCTTTCAGAAATGTCAAAGAATTATATCTGTGAACAATCAGGAGGAAACTATAGATAGTGGTAAGAGTAAGGACAGTTGCAACTGATAACATTGAACACTGGAGAATGATCAATCAACGACATTGAAAAAATACTGTAAAGGCAGCTAAAGACTAGAATAACTAGCTAGCTTAAAAAACAATGCAGTATAAGACTTTTGCCAATGCCATGTGATATCAAGTACCATACAACAGAGCAGGAACGAACTTGCTGCAAATGACACTTTTTGGTTATGATGATGTTTGTGAGAATGCAGGGGGGAAATAAATACCATGGTCACATGCATGGTGCACGAGGAAGCAAGAATACATCAGTGCAACACACAACACACTTTTCTTGGTAGTTGCCATCTATCCCTTTCCCTGCTCAGAAATAAACTTCTGGTATCCTTCCAATAGATGCAGAGTAGTGGAGAACCATAAAACTACAAGCCCTCAAGTTAGAAGCAGAACGTACAAATATATAGGAAGCCTAAAAGAATAACATTGCTGTATAAGCCAGCTTCCTTGTACCTGTTGATATAATACGGACCGATTCAGTGCTTAATGTCTTGGTTCCAGCAAAGTGTCACCTTTATTTAATTGGGATCGTTACTCTTGTAGCATCATGGATGATTACATAAATTTCTCAGTCTAGTCCAATATCAGATCAATCAAAAGGTAACTTTTCCATGACACATAAAAATAAGACAAATCATTCTTAGTAGCTACAAATGTATCACTACACAGTGATGGAAACAATGTAGGTATATTTTGCTCGCTTGGAACTGATATCAACAATGTTGACAACCATACCTAGATAGTACACTATGCTTTTCTCACACACACAAACAAAAACGAAGCGGACACAACTCAAACTAAGAGAGTATTATACCCATGATTGGTATTTCCAAGAAAAAGCTTCCTAGTGTATGGCATCATAAGGATATTGAACTGGAATATACCATTATGGAAGGATGGTTTGTGGGATCTGGGATCATGAGATTAACATATTGGGTACATTTTTTTCTTGAAAGTGCTGGAGAGTTGTGCTTTTCATTATGTTAAGAAGAACAGGAGAGTCTAAGAAGACTCATACAACCCCTAGTGGGGCAGGGCTAATTACATCTAGGCTCGCCAATGAACCACTAGAAATGACCAGCGACCAAGTCTGAGCACTGCTCGTACAGTTGCTCTCCTAGCTGGGTGCATCATGACTGCTTTCCACCCAGGCAATCTATCAGGAATTTTATGAATTATAGCACAGAAATCAGCCTTGAAGAGTTCCTTAATTGATAATGGCAATCCAAGATATTTGCAAGGAAGTTCTGTACAAGGCAAGGCACACAATTGATGCTTGCACAGCTGCAATATCTCCCCCAAAACGAAAAGGCACAACAGAACTTCTTACAAGAACAGAAACTATCACAAATCCCAGTCAGACGATTCACAAAATAGGCCCTTGTGTCAAAACTCAAAAGCAGAGTTCTTTCCCACTGACAGAAACGTAGAAGTTGAGGGTAAAAATAACAAGGTTTAACTTCAACGCATTTGTTATTCTCCTCGACCACAGAGCAATTACATAAACTGCATGATCCTATAGAACTATTAATCATGTGTCGAAACAATGAACTAATGGATTCTACAACCATGAACTGGTAAGAGAAGATTTCAAAAAAAAAAAAAAAAACTGGTAAGAGAAGAATGCTATCTTTCCCCCCTAAAAGGACAACATCTTTTCCTTATTATATGAAACTACTTTATTAAACAAATAAGAGACTGTTCCACTATCTTTAACAACATTAACATGTATATGATACCAATATCTAATCTCTGTGGAAAACTAAATCACGAAACTGCTAGAATACGTCCTCTTTGCCCCTGGTGCTGCACAAGGATCACAACTATACAAGACTGAGAGTTTGAATCAAAGAAGAAGCAAACATACATTGAAGAGCTCAATACAGGTAAGTACTACTTCATGGGAATCCTTATCAACAGCTATTCTTTGGGTGAAAAAGTTCCCACATTTTTTCCACCACGGTCAATCCGAATTTCATTACTAGTGTAACGAAATTACAAAGTTCTTAGTTTCAAAAGTACCACCAAACACTGTCCGCAAACCCCAACTCGGCCACTGAGCGCAAAGGGCTCAGCCTGGCTGGGAACTACCTTACATGCACAACAAGCCAACATATGCTGCCTAACCAGTCCTACAAGGTTGATTAACACTACTATTACTAGATGTCAAAAACATAAAACACATGCACGAAGAAGAAAAGTACAGGCTCAAACTATTACTAGACGTCCACAAAAAGGCTCCTCGTTATAGATGCAGAACCTAGCTTATGACATGGATCTTATGAAAGGCCAACCCTGTGCACTAATACTATCATATAACAAATAAATGAGAAAATAAAATAAACTTAGATCTTAATATTTAATCTACAATTCAGTAATATATGCATGTGATAATTAACATGTCACATATACAGAACAGGCCAGATAGAAATTGTACATATATACATTAGGGACAACTAACATTTGCATACACTCTCAAATGCTAAAAATTTATTTGTTAATCTAGGACATCATAAGGCTATATCATTCCTCTCAACCTCCAATGCTATTTCATTTCGCCTTGTGAATGGAAGTGTGAAAGGTGGATTGTACTGCAGATTGAGAAAATCTAGAATCAGGCACTGATAACATTCCTCTAATAAACTGGGTAAAACTACAGCTCATAAACCATAACCATTTCAGAAGCTTTACCTGTGCGACTTCCACCACTGAATCATCTTTCACTCTAAACTCGGTATCTTTATGGAGAAATTCACGCAATTTAGATTCCCTCTGGCTTATATCATCATCAGTAACCAAACCTGTACGAACACAAAAGTAGTATGGACTATGACAATGGTAGCATGGTCGACAAATATTGCACTGAAGTATCAATATGAGTTCATAACTGATCATATCCAAGATATCAACAAGGAATGAAGGGAAATGATTCATTTAGCAGAGAGCTAACCATCTCACTATTTTAGCTTCAGAGTTTTAAAAACAAATGGAGATGCTTATTGTTGTGAAAACTTTCTCTAGTAGCCAATAAAATTTGAGGCCTAAAAGAGTTTTTTGTGCTTTTATTATATTTGAACAAAAAATTGAAAACTCTGTAAGACAAATGGTAAATAGGTAGAGCTCATTTCAAAATAATAACAACTTAAGAAAATCTGGTTCAATTTGTTCATCATGAAAGTAACTCCATATTAAAGATTGTGTTGGAGGTTTTGAATTGGGAAGGAACATGACAACTCCTATCATTCTAAACTATTTCCTGACTGAAAACAAAAGTCATGTGGTTAGTGATAATAACAGCAGGCTCCATGCACATGTTTCGGTTGGTATCTTGAGTAATCAACAGAAGGAAAGGCACAGAAAATTGATACAGAATATTTCTACTTTTTCATTACAAATACTGAAAATAAGATTTCAAAATTGGTACCTATAAATTATGTACTTGATTCTGAATTTAATAAGATAGCTTCTTAAAAACCAGGGCAGAAATCACATCTGTTATGAAATGGGTATGGCAGAAGTACAAGATTATGGACCTGAAAAGGCTGCAACAGCAACTATTTTGCTGGGCAGCTCCTTGATAGTCACAGAAGGATCTTTTGGGCGAGGCAAGTTGGAACCATACTTCGCTGGCATCACAAATGACATTTTCCATTTATTTTTACCAGCTAACTGCAGGTGACAAACAAATAAAAAGGAAAGGTAAAACTTCATCACTTTCTTGATAATGAAGTAGCCTGAATCGCCAAACAAAGACAGCTCAAAACAATGGCACAAGTGAAAGCCAAAATCCACCTTCTTTGTTATCACTGGGGTCGTCATGTCCATTGTTTCACTGTTTGACTCGCCCTTCCGAGTAAAAACAGGCGTTGTCATTTCCATTTGCTCAGAGGTTGTGTTCTGCAAGCAAGCATGCCAACGATAAAGTGAATAAAAAACATGTAATTTTCACTTTAATTCAGACTATGACTATACAATGAAACAAGGAAGGGACTTTCTGACCCGTGGTAGAAACGTGGCAAATACCTTACCGAATAAATAAGATGCCAGCACGTTGAATGACTGAGATGATCCGTTGAAATCAAACCCAGATCTTCCAGGCATCGTTGTTTCAGCAATGAAGTATGACTGATCAGAGTTCACAACAAAAGACACTATCATTCAATGAACCTCATAGTATTATCATATCCCAATGGATTCCATTTTCACACATGCACAAAAAAAATTTGGAATCCAAATTTTTTTTTAACCCATGGTTGAAAAGCGAAAACATACTAGCACAATTACCTCCACTTCTCTGATCTCGTACTCTGCTTCGCGCTTCAGGACACGGAACGGAACTGTCTCGAGATCAGGCACTGCAAAAAGTACATGAATCTAATAACACAGAAATCGAGGTCTCATATCCTGAGGATTTTACGATTTTGGGAGCACAAGCTGTTGCTATTCATTTATTACCGACCGGACATGAGGGCCTCCTCGAGGGTGCGGGGCTCGAAGCGGCGGGACGGGAAGGCGTACTTGGCGGCCTCACCGGCGAGGTCGGCGAAGCGGCGCTGCGAGGCGGAGAGCGCCTGCGAGGCCAGGGCCAGCACCAGCGACGCGCGAGCCTCCGCTCCGCTCACACGGGTGCCGGCGGCCACGACGACCGTCCGCGGCGGGCGGACGTCTCGGGGACGCTGGCCTGGGGCTCGAAGCGGCCGCGGGGAAGCGGAGCACAGCGGCGACGGCGCCATTTGATTTCCAGTTCGGAGCGGTGACCGCGAGGAGCGAGCGACGCGGTGTGGATTGGCGATTGCCTCGCAGTGGTGCCGTGGTGAGCTGGCCGCCCGGTGGCGCTCGTCCCTGGGAGAAGGCAGTTGCGTTCTGGTGTTTGTTCTATTGCGTCAGATTTTTACGTTCCGACTTCTGGACTGTGGAGTTCTGAATCTGGGGCGGGAGCGCGAGGCGGTCTGGGTGGTTTTGGTTTTGCTTGCTTTGAGGAAAATCCGGTTATCCTAAACTACGGCGAGCCTAGGTCTCCGGATGCGGCTCCCGTTCCACCCACCCGCCGCGCCGCGTCTCCTCACGTAGATCGAAACAGAACTGTAATGTGTTTAGTTTGTTGTAGAAATTTGGATTTGAAACGTTACTATAAGCCTAATTAGTCAATATTTGGTGGACAATAATGTTTAAATATGGACTAATTAGGCTAAAACGTTAATCTCCTCGCAATTTCTAAACAAAATCCTAAAATTAGTTTTTTCTTTAGGTACATTTAATGCTTCTCCGTTCCACAAACATTCGATGCGACTCCTCAGAAGAACTTTTTGGAAGTTGGGGTGGAACTAAACAAGGGCTGTATCTGCTACACCCGCACAAAGGAGAGCGCGCCAGTCGTGCTCACGTCACCACGCGCCTCGGCCTCTGCTCCCAACCATGATGTAGGTAGCTCCCTCCGCCTAGCACCCAGCTCCGGAGGCAGCGTCCGTTCATACGGAACTCCCTCGCTTGCGCCAGACGCACGCAGCTCCCTCGGTCCACGCCATCCTCGTTCGCATGCCTAAAGGCTCCGGAAGAGATGATATATAGAAGGTTGAGGGAGAGAGATTCAACACCTGATCTACTTTTGAAACATCCAAATACATCGATGGTAATATACGTCTGAAGGTAATTAAAACATTTAAAACATGCTTGTAAAACACTTGAAAAACACACCCGAAACACACTTGAAAACCATTGTAACCATACACAACATCTAAATAAAACACATGCAACATATATGTGAAACATATGCAACATCCAGATAAACACAATTGCAACATGCGTCCGAAAAACACAGATAAAACATACCTCTAAAACATCTGAAACATTCAAAGCATACTCTTGTAACATGCCTCTAAAACAATTGCAACATCCCCGATCTATTTTTACAACATCCATATAAAACAAATACAATATATATCTGAAATATATAATTGCAACATAGGGGGAGAGAGAGAGCCTGGCGCGGGGAGTGCCATGGCTACCGGATCTGCGGGCATTAGAGGCTCTCGGTGGGGAGGACGTCGGAGTGTGGGGGGAGGAGTACGCCGGGGTGAGGGAAGGAGATGCCGGGAGTCGGGGAACATAGGGGAGGGAAGGTTGTGCTGGTTGATTCCGGACGCCGAGGGTCGGCGATGGCTGCTCCAGAGCCTAGCCATTGTCGGTGGTGGCGGCGAGGACTGCTGCGACGATCGATGGAGACAACCCGCACGCTAATGCGGTGTGGCCACCGCTTTCCACATCGAGTGCCGGGGTGGGGGAAGGGGCCCTCGGGGTGGGAGAGCTCACCGCCATCGGCCAGAGAGGCGGCCATGGCCACGTGTTGGGGTAGCGCACGGGGCGCAAGCTGAGGAAGGGAGTAGGAAGCGATGGACTAGGTGCGTGGGTGTGTGTCATGCCCGGATCTTCGAAAGAAGACAAAGCACTTGTCATATGTGTGCCGAGGATGTCCACACATGCAATAATAGAAATAGAAATATCAGAAAAACAATGTTATATAGCGAAAAACATACTTATATTTAATATTTACATCTATCAGAGTATCGCGGAACGATTGCTAATCTTTTCCTCGGGCTCCATTCTTCTCAGAGACGGTTGACTGGGGGCTCCGTACACTAAGCACTTCTAGAAAACCTTGGAAACACCGATGCGCCTTTGTCCTTCTTCTGAGCAGCACTTTACTACACACTGAGGGTGTGGAGGGAATAGCAACGGTGAGTCCATGTCGAACTCAACAAGTACAGGCAGAAAGTATAATGACATGCAAGGCTTATACAAAAGGAAGGCTGACACGGTTTGACTACATATTAGCATTTTTAGTTGGTAAACTTTATTAAAGCAACCTGTTAGTACTATGAGTAAAATATTTCATCCCTTAATTAATAGAGTAAAGTTAATAATATTATTAATCATCATCATTAACGAGGTAGCAACCTCAAAAGGTAACCCAGGGTAGCAACCCCAATTAAGAACACGGGATAGTAATCCCGCCAAAGCACGAGGTAGCCACCTCAATCCATAAATCCACCTCCACTGTCCAATTATGAGTCATATTTTAATCATGCGAGAATCTAAACCGATTGTAGCATCTCTGGTTGCCCTAGAGGGGGTGAATAGGCCTGTCAAAACAAACACTCAAACTTTTATCAAATTCACCCTGCGGCACTACCGCTCTAGAGGGTGGCACTGTCGGTCCAGAACAACGGCACTGCCGCACCTACAGACAACTTCGAGTTACACTTCAAAAACCGTGAACGAAAACTTAGATCGGAGAAATTTCCTAGCTTGCAGCAGGTATGACAATCACAGATCAAGAGCTAGAAGTAGTAGGAATACCACACACAAGTAGATCGACTAGAAACCCTAGAAATCACCTCAACTATAATATGTTATGCAAGTAATGTAAATCAAGCACAAGTGACACAATAATTTATCCCGTGGTTCGGCTCGCCACCAAGGCTTGCCTACCTCCACGTTGTTGAGGTTAGCCACTAAGGCTTAGGGCTTTCCAACTCTTCCTCGTTCTCAAGTCAAGAGATTTAACTCTTGAGATGAGGGATGAGTTTACTAGCTTCAAGAGATGGTTACAAACCTCCTAAGGCTGCCACACAAGTTGGCAAGCTCCACGAGCGGCACTCTAGCCGGCTAGGAGCCAAGCTCCAAGAGTAACAAACACAACCATCTACCAAAATATGAACCAAGTGCTCTTTAGAGTTGGGGAATCAATGGAGCTGCTCTCTAATAGAGTTTTAGACCCTTTTCCCTCAAGGATTGATGGGAAAATCAATGGATTTGCTTGGGGGCTTGAGGTCAACAATGGAGGGAGAGAGAGAGCTCCTTTTTTGTTTTGGACGAGCTAGAATGAGCATGAGCCAGAAGAGAGATGTTGGGGAGGAAGAGGATGGGTATAAATACCCCCTCAACCCCAATGGTCACTTAAGGTGCGGCAGTGCCGCGTTTTAAGTGCGGCAGTGCCTCTCTTCAAGTGTAGACTGTCTTGACTGTGAATCTGAGGTGCATGTATATGTTTGAGCACTTGGTAGCACATATTAGCTTAAGCATTGTATCCTCCTTTGTAGTACGGCTTTTTCTATACTCAAATTCAAAATATAAAAGAATTTAAACCTCCTTTGAGTTTAAAGCCATCTACATTTGTAATTGGAGACTCCTCTGTTTCGTGTAGCATCCTCGAACATGAATTCCCTGCTTGTCATCTCGATAAATCTTATTAGTTCTCTAATTGCGTGGTCATTATCACCAAAACCCATAATTAGGGCTTAATTGCACTTTCAATCTCTCCCTTTTTGGTGATTGATGACAACCCAATTAGAGCTTACAAAAGATATGAAATAAATACGTAAATTTTCGAGCTATGGGTGTAGAGCCTCCCCCTAAATATGTGAATGAGGATTTGAATTCCTATTTTGGCATTTAGAGGCCAAAATTCACATTTTTAGTTAAGGTGCTGGGGCTCCCCCTACTTCCATGCCTCCTATGGGGTGCTGCACACTGTGTCACAGATATAATCGTGATGCAAATGATATTTCATGCATAGCAAAGTTTGCTGCAGCAGCAAGGTGCGGCACTGCCGCACTTACTGCAATAGCATAAGTTAACCAAGCACCACACAACAGATTATGATTGAAAAGATAAACAATCTAGCACAATTATGATGACAGCTAAGCACACAAAAGATACATGTCCATATCCGATACAAATAGAGTCAAATAGGTAGCATTATTACACAAATTAGAGTTTTAAGCGACTCTCAAACTCTCCACCTAACGAAGACTACTCTCAACGGATATGACATGAAGCTTCAGCTGCGAACACATGGCGTTAAAAAGTTGTTAATCCCTCTAATTTTCTCCCCCTTTGGCATAAAGCACCAAAAAGAGAACAAAAGAAGAAAGACCAACAAACTCACTCCTCTTCTTGGATGCCCTCCCAATCAACATCATCCTCGTCGTCGAAGTCAATACAGGCACGACCCTATCAATGAGTGGTGGCGGTGAAGTGGCTGGAATGTCTCACCCCCTGTCTCTAAGAGTACTTAGCAAGGGTCTCCTGCCAACCTGCGTCACGTCCCTGCTGCTCCTTCTCATCATCGTCATCATCTGAGTCTGTGTCTAAAAGACTAGGAAGGTCATACTGTGGACGAGGTGGTGGTGGAGGAAGTGGTGGAAGGTGATCTCCACGCTGCTCTCGCTGCTCTAGCTGTGTCTCATAGGCTCACTCAGCTGCATAGGTGCACTTGCTAAATATTGCTTTGAGCCACTTTCCAAATTTCTTCATCTTGTTGTCCTTGCGAGACCTAGAGCGAGAGGACTCGGGAATGTCCTCATGAGCATGGGAGCCTCCCGCGGCTTGGCTAGCTACTGTAGGCTGGGTCTTCTCAATCTTGTAGATGGTGTGCATCCCGTCTTTTAGAAAGCTAATCCCTGTGATCCTCTCAATCAAGAACATGAGGTAAGGAGCATAGGGCAGCTCCTTCCTTCCATCCTCCATAACAAGCCTCAGCTCATGCCAAATAAACTGAGGGATATTGAACTTATCCCCTCCTAGAGCAAAGCGAGCTAGCACGTTCCTCACATATCCATTTATGTCCGAGGCTGCTCCATCATTGGGATTGATAGTGTTCCTGATGAGGTTGTTTAGGATATAATAGTAACTATGTAGCCCACTCATTTTGCCATCAGTAGCCCTACTGTCT